AGATCGAAACGGGCAGGGGTGGGGCTCGAACCCAGGATCCCTGGGTTCTGCTTCGGCGCTGAAGAAATGGACGCGACCGCATAATCTCGGGCAGTCTTTTTTAATTATTTTTATATTTGCAGAAAAGCTCGTGCAAAAAAAAAAAAAAGAAAAAAGAAAAGAAAACGGCTTTAACGTTTTTACACGTCCCTACATAGGTACCTCGCTATCCCTTTGGCTTCATTGCGCGTGACGATTCAACGCTCTTTGCCATGGAAACGTTCGTGAAACTAGAAAGCCTCTGTTTGCCGCTAGCAGTCATTTTTCGAGTTCGGGTTGTGACGACAAAATGACGTAAGAACAAGAATGCACGGGACTATTTGCATTGTTTTAGCTCGACAACCGTACCCTTGGCGAGTTAAACTCGAAAGAACATGGCTGCGATGCTCGTCGGATCGACCGCGGCTGGGGTTTGACATGCGATCTGTCACTCGGTCAACGCGCACACGAATGCTTTCGTGCTGTTGGATGAGCCCATTCGGCGGCAGGACCGGGTCGAAGAGCACAGTAAGCTGGCGTTTAACGTCTCCGATATAACACTTGGCGAGATGCAAGGCTTCTATTTGTGCCGGTGTTATGAAGCTTGAAAGTGGTGGCGGTGTTGTGGCTCGTAGGGTAGCCTTACTGAGATTATGAAGACAGTAATATACCTTCATTCAGCGTTGACATGCATCAAGATTCACAACCTCCCTTTTACACAAAGGAAACCACGTTTCTGCGAGCACGGAGGAAGCAGCCAACGGTCTGAGAAAAAATTGTGCCTCCGCCACGACCGCCAGCGATCGCCCCAACGGCAAGAAAACAAACCACAAGCTCATTGAGGTTTGTGTAGTGCTGACTGTTGATTCATCGGACGACAAAGGTGAATGAAGTAAAACGCAACGTAAGTTTGCCAGCGTTTTTCAAAACTAATGCGTTTCGTTGAAAATTTAATTTGTGGAATTCGTTAACGCCTTGAACGTTTGACGGGGACTGCATGGTGGACGCAGGCTTCACACAGGTGTTTTCTACAGTGTGTGCTTTGCCTGCACGCATATAAAGACAGAAACACTGCCTATATGGTGCATAAAATAAAGAAAATTTCGCTTATCTTGATTATGTTGACTATCAATTGAGTGCTGTTGATAGTAGTGGCGTAGCCAGGAACTTTTAAGGGGGTGAGGGTGGAGGGGGTTTAAGGTGGCTGGGATGTTTATGACTTGGGGTGCGGATGGGGGATGATGTCGAAATTTGTGTGTATATTCTAGGGCCCGCCGGATTTGGGGAGGGGGGGGGGGGCGAAGATAAGCCTCCTCCCCCCCCCCCCCCCCCCCCCCCTGGCTTTGCCACTGGATGATACCATAAGGGGAGCATCCAGCATGTGCAGAGCCGCTGAACTCGTACCACAATGGCAAGATAGTTGCTGACATTTTTCACGTTACGTAGTGGTTCTTTCTTTAGTACATATGCTTGTTTTTCCTTCACACATCTACTCTGCTTCAAGAGTGCGTATTTGCTCTGCATTACAGGCAAATTTAAAAAAAAAAATCCAGCTCACACTACTCTATAATTTCAACGAGTTACTGTCACCTTTGAAACGACAATCTTTTTAATTTGTATGACAACCTTTACATTAAACACACGGGTGTTGAATGGAGGACAATTCTATCTTTATTATTTTTCTTGGTCATGGAGATGACGACCATCCACAAGATTGCACTGGCTAAATTTCTCGTGAACAGTGGGTAACAATGTTACCATGCTCCGTCAGACTAAACTCCTGCTGTCTAAACAACTAACGATTAATTTTAGGACAGACCTGTTCGTAGTTTATTGCAGGGCATCGAAAAGTGTTCTTATGACTTTCAGATGACTGACTTGCAATTCCAGCAGCTTGGCGTGAAAAGGTAAAATATCTAATTGATACAACAAAATGCCATCAGCAACCCATCCAGATTTTATTGCGTGATTGACAGTAGCTACAAATCGCAACAAATGGTCAACTGAAGACATAGGTACTAAGCGTGCACTAACTTCGAAGCGGTAGAAACCCTGAAATTTTAACGTAAACTTACCACCAAGTTGTTAATGACAAAGTGGTGTTTGCGGAAAAGTATTCGAGTCCTTCAGAACGGTGACAATCTCCTTCAGACCGATGATGATGGTGACGAAGGTTCTGTTAGATTCTAGGTTCCGTCAACGCACCCCACGACGTCGGTGTGCTTGTCGTGGTGGCGACAAAAGCCTTCTTTCGCACATGCCTCAGCTGCCTCGGTTCGGGGTTTCGTCGACCCAGCCGCCTCTTCCCAGCCGGTTGACAGCGACACTCGCGACGGCCGTCACGGCTCTGATCACCATCCACTGGGCATTAGCTATGTGATCATCGGTGGCAACCGCGCTCTTGTAGTTCCCCGCTGCGAAAAATCTCAGTGCGATTCAATTAGTCTGCTGCTGCTCGACGATCATCATCTCTCATCGTCGCCGTCTCTCGTCGCGCAGCTGGAGTGCTATGTTGCGCTTTTTGCACTCCCAGGAGACTTGGAAGAGGGAAGTGACGTCAACGACACAGCAAATGCAGATTGGATGTTGACAGAAGAAAACGAAATGAACACCCAATCTGCGTTTGCTGTGTCGTTGACGTCACTTCCCTCTCCCTAGTCTCCTGGGAGTGCAAAAAGCGCAACATAGCCCCCCTGGTCACACTGCGATCACACGGTGCTTTTCGACAAGCGGTATTGTCGTCAGAAACAGTCGTCGTGCATCGCGAAGGCTACCGGGTGCTCGAGGAGAACCCGTCATTGTACACGTTAATCGAGCCATCGTGGCGCAACAAGCATCGCCGCCATTTTCTACGCTCTAGAATCCTGCCCAAAACTTGTTCCCCTTCGTGCAATAGAAACAGAAATTAAAAGCACGAGCACATCACCCCAAACGATGCTTGCACGAACGTTGGTTTGCACTGCGCAAGCGCGCCTGCTCGACAGGGTCGTTGAAAGCCCGGAGCACGTTCTTGTAGCTCCTACACCCGCACTAGCTCGCACTCATAGTGAAACAGAGGGTAGGGTGTGTCGAGTAATATCGCAGTTAATCTAGTTACGCGTCTTCCGCTATGTGCTACGTAGGTCGGACGTGGTCATACGTCACTTTGTCGTCACGGTCCGAGCTCGAAGAGTGACAGTTACGGCAAACAGTTGCTTTCGTGTTTTGCGAACGTTACCATGGTAACCGGTTGGAATTATCACGCGGGCTGTGGCCAATAGGAGCGCGCGGTTCGTAGGAGAAAGAAGTTTTCGAGAAACACGAACCTGACCGTTTGTGACCAGAGTAGCACCCCAGCTGGGAGCGCGTAGAGCGAAAACACGCGCTGCAGAAACCAGGGATCCTGTGTTCAAACTCCACCCCTGCCCGTTTTAATCTGGACGAGCATCGTATACCGGCGTGAGATCGTGAATCACTACGGCGCGGTGGACGTTGAAAAACCCCAGACTAGCGGTTGTAGTGCACTGGCTACACTTCTCATCTACAGCCGAAACATCGGGCGTCCATTGAGACTATACCTTCCGGCTGTCTAAATATACTCGCAACACAATTTACTTAATTACAGATGTGTTTTTTTTTTTTTTTGCTTGTTTTTGTTTTCAATTCCCTACCACTCTTGGTTGCCCAGTTCCTGAGCGGAACGAGAAAGATGACACCGCTATTGGGAGACTAACCCTTTTGTTCTGCATTTTCCACTCTTTCTTTTTGTTGTTTTAAGTCTGCAATAAGCTCGCTCGCTCACTCACTCACTCTCACTTAACTTACCTTTTACCATGGCGGAAGAGTGCATCCAAAAGATGCATCGTTTTGTCGTCGGAATACTCAGAATGCAGACAAAATATCGCCAATAATAAAAGCTAACTTGTTTTTGGAAGCTGAGAACGCGTTTGTTATCAGACTAAAGTCACAGCTACCTGATGCAAAACGGGGCGCGGCTAGTTGTGTTCACGCTCTCTGCTTCGCGATTCGTTCTACAGGGATCTTGTGGGCGACAGTCTAATAGGCCGAGGAGCGATAACGAGCTGCAGTCTAAGAAATGCCTGCGTGTCTACTTACCCGCAAAACACTGGAAAAGTCAATCTCTGCGATCTACGAAATTAGCTCAGCGAATGATGAGGCGGAACATCTGTATAGACCCCAAAATTAAGTTCGTGCTGTGGCGTTACGCAATGCAAGCATGACGCTTTGCGCTGCGTAATGCCACAGCACAGAATTCATTTCTAGGTCCAAAGGAATGTTCCGCCTCATCATTCACTGAGCTCATTTCGTAGATCGCGAAGATTGGATCTTCGAAGTGTATTGCGGGTAAGTAGATGCGAAGGCATTTCTTAAAGTGTGCTGAGGACCCGCTGCGTTTCGTTATGTGGAAGACTGCCCAGCAGGCTTTGATTGTCAAGTCAATCCAACGTATACTTGATATAACAAAGGACGTCCATTTTAAGTTCTTTTCTTACTTTTTGTTAAAACGGCGCGATGTCGGTTTGCCACAGTATGACGACATATATATATATATATATATGCTCGACGATTAAAACATCAGCGGCGCTAATGTGCGTACGAATCCAGCTCCCAGCTACCGGGCATGCCACCTTTCAAAACGCTCGTGTGACTTCCGTTTCTTTTTGTTTGTTTTTTTCCCCGACCTCTTCCTTGAACTGTTGACCGGTTTAGGATCCAGGGACTCATTAATTACCCGTACCCAAAACAGCGGAAGATTTTCTAACTGCTTGGGCGTCGCGTGATTCAAAATGTCCACGAGAACGGATATTATTAACGATCTCAGTAGAAAATACGCTGTTATTCTCGCTTTACTTGCAAACAACTATTGAAAGACGCAGCGACAAACGTGCCAAGTAACAATCAATTATACCTGTTGTTGGATCGAAAAGGGACATGTTTTTTTTTCTTTTGTAGAAAAAAAATTATGAAGACTCCGCACTTACCAAAGTAAGCGACGCACGACGGACGAAGAACATGTCGAGTAGTGTCTTCACCAGGCACTGTAAAAAAGAGACAAAGTTGTTGCTCAGAAATTCGCAGCTATACCTACAAGTATCTTCGCATAAAAGTTGTAACAAATACCGACCCGCTTAATTCTAACTCAAAGTGAGCTTCTTTCGTGACATGTAAAACAAGACACTGTTTACACACAACTCCGCGTTCGGCACTGCGCTTGCACAAAACTCAGATTTACGTGAGGCGTCTGCGCAGTACCGACGGCAGTGCCACCGTGACTTTTCCCTTTGTGATTGGTCTAATCGGTAATAAAAAGCGAAAAAAAAAACAAAAAAAAAAACGAGCGCCGTAACGTAGTAGATTTGGAGATGTTTGATTAGCTCCGTCGGATCGCAGGATTTGCTGCGATCAGAATTAAAGTGCAGCGGAGTATAATCGAACGTTGTAATTTCGCTCAACAAAAGTTAAATTTTTTTTTTTTTTTTTTAGATTGTGTCTACTGGATTCTCAAAAAAAAAATTAAACCCAAAATGGTAATTTCACTTTTTTTGTTTTTTTTTTTGCAAAAGACGCAGGGAGTCAATTACGGCGATCAATAAAAGGGCCCTAGTGAATTATCAAGCTCGATGAAACGTCATAATCATTGTCCCGGCGTGCATAGCATTCTTTAATGCGAAAGCATGAACTGGGGGGGGGGGGGGGGGGCGTTCCATGGAGCGAACCGGCGTTATCAGCTTATGAAGCCGTGCCAAACGGCACCTAAATTCCCCTATCCGATAAAGCGAAACCCGTAGTCTGTAGCAGCGAATTGATGAATCGGCTTCCATTGGCTGGCGCGCGGCATAGTTCCGAGGAACGCCACCCCACTGCCATGGCGCAGCGGACCGGTCGCCGGTAAGAGAGAGAGGGCGGCCGCAGAGCCCGCCCAGGCAGCATCCGCGCAGGTCGCCCGGCCGGGCTGGCGCAGCGCGCAGTTTGGAGGAATACGCTACGTATGCGAATGCTTTCGCATTCCGACACGTGAGCAGTCGTAAGTGTCACTGTAGTTTTTTTTTTTTTTTTGTTTTGTTTTGTAAGCGTATTATGCATTTTTTCATTCGCTGGGATTCTTCTTTTATTCGCCATGATTGACCATCTTCGCGTTCACAGGACATTGAACTTACGTCCTTTTTTATAGAGTGCATAGTCGTTGGCAGCTTAATACACGCAGGGCGCCACGTGCTTTTCTTTCGCCCGTCCTCAACCCACGACGGTGCGCGCTTCGCTGCCTCGCCACCACACGCGTTCCCTGCGCTTTTTCTATGGATGCCGCGAACTTTTTTCGAATCGAAGTTTCGATGATCGAATCAAGCGGTTCGAAAGGTTCAAAAGATTTTGATTTTTCGAATTGTCTATACCGTAAAATTCGACGGAAGTCGAATTTTCGAACTTGTTAAGCTAAGAAGTTCGACGCTTTTCGAACCGTCGAACTTATTACGCTAAAGAATTCGATCTTTTTCAAACTTTCGAACTTTTTGCGCTGGAAAGTTCGATGCTTGTCGAACTTCCGAACTTGTCTGACCAAAAAATGCGATGAATTTCGAACTTTCGAACTTTTTTATCAAAAGAAATCGAAAAGTTCGAATTTTCGAATCCTGTAAAGTCAGAAGTTCGACGACCTTCGAACTTTGAGGCTAAAAGTTCGACGTTCGTCGAACTTCGAAAGACCGGCGGACGGTTTCATTTGAATTCAAGTAGTGAGGTACAATCGTAATTTTTTTTTTCGAATTTTCACACGCGGTGCTGCGTTCCTTACGAAAGACAATGCCGTTTGTTTCAATGTTCTGGCATGCTTAGTTTTAGAGAAATAAATTCCCGAAGGGGCGAAAAAGGACGACGGGTTATTGACGATTATCGTTAGTGCCAGATTTGAAGCGCGCTGTTTATGGTAGAGATGTTATACTTTTAAACAATGATCTGTGTATAGCCTAGGTAATTCAACGTGAGTTTCGAAGAAATGTCCAACCATGTATATACATGCAAGTATGCCTTAAACTTGATATTTATTTTCGTCGAAGTTGTTTGAGGTATCGCATTTAAATTAACACCACAGACAGTACATATCGTTGCCATCTGCAGAATACAAAATAATGTATTTATTGTTTTTTCACGTTAAGGAATAAATTAACTCAAGGGAGAAGATTTCTAATAGTGTTCAAGTTCAGCACGTCATTAAAAGAACACTTTTTTTTTTTTTTTCGCTTCACGTTCCTGGGACCTGTTTCTTTTAGCCTGTGCACATTTTGGTAAAAGAAACTTGTTTCGAGCTTTTTATCCCCGCAATTATTCATCTTTTTTTTTTATCATTGGCACAGGTATTTAGGTCGAAAAGACATAGCTTTGAACTTCCGAACCACTAAGCACGAGACGAATAGCGCCTTCTGACAGCGAGTTTCTAACGGGAGGCACTCACTTGATCGAATGACGTTTTAGCGAACGCCCACGTTTCATCGAACGACACTTTAGCGAATAGCCGGACGCCGCGAAGCGGCGTTTTCGGGTGGGCCAAGTGAGTTTATATTTTTGTAATGAGTTGTCGCAGACTGTCGCCGCGAAGCGGCGTAAAGCGCAGCGCGACGGATGGGTTAACGCGCGCCCCCGTTATTCGCTAAAACGACCATTCGCTCAAATGTCGCCGTTCGCTAAAATGTCATTCGCTCTTGTGATATGGACCCGTTTCTAACAATTACCATCTACGCACTCTTTTATGCAGTGAAGAGCGACAGTAGCTATACATATGAATCAATAATTTCAGATTAAAATAAGCTCGACAACGCCCTTTTTCCCCGTATTGTTTTCTTTAACAGTCCGAAATATCTGGAAGGGGGGGGGGGGGGGGGGGGAAGGCTGAAGACCCCCCCCCCCCCCCCCCCCCCCGCGCTACCCTCTTTCCCCCCGTTTTTCGTCTTCTGACGCCACTTGTATGGTTGAACGCTCCTCGACCTCGAGTAGTGTCGGCTTTTTGCGAGGTGATTCTTCCGCCCCAGAAAATAAACCTCCAGGTCAATTACAAACTTAACTTACTACTTACTATATGCCAGCGTCACTCGGGTGGCGTTCGATCGGATTACTTCCAGCGTGCAAGGGGTGGCGAGGTAGTTTGCCAGGTCGCTTCAAGGTTTTTGTGAGCCCCAACCTCCTGCTCGCCCCTGCCGCTTCGAACTGGATGAGTCTCGTTAAACGGTGTGTTCGTGTGATCACTACTGCGTGATGCAGGTTAAAGACCCCCCCCCCCCCCCCCCCCCACCGGCTGGCGGTCGCAATTACTGATCTATGGTCACACGTCACTCTGCACTGGCAAATATTCCAGCACATCCGGGACACTCGTCGTCTTATTTAATTGCCTGACCAACTTCGTAGAATCTAGATATCACACCCTAACTTTTCTAAACTTGATTTTGTAAAAACCAGTGAGTCGTGAAAACGTTATTTGAAACTGAAACTGTGGAGGAACTTGAAAACCGGACTTCGAACTTTGAAAACTTGGACTAGAAAAAAATCAAAAGCTTCGTTTTTTTAAGTTTTTTTTTAATTAGCGTTAAAAGAAAATCGAAACCTTCGAACTTTTCGAACTTTATGCAGAAAGAAATTCGAAATCTTCGAATTGTTCGAACTTCATATCTATAAAAATTCGAAGCGTTCGAAGTTTTCGAATTTTATTTCCAAAGAATTTCGAAATCTTCGAATTTATCGAGCCTGAAGTAAAAAAATATTCGAAATATTCGAATCCGAAATTTTAGAGACCGTGAAAGCTTCGAACTTTTCGAATTCGAAACTCCACTCTGACCGAAAGTTGCGAATTTTTCGAATTCGAACCTCGGTCGGTATTAAAATATCGAAATTTTTCGAAGTCGAACCTCAGTTCGCTTCGCAAATATCGAAACCTTTCGAAATCGACCTTAGGGTGGTTCGCGACATCCCTAGCTTTTTCTATGTTTCCCTTTGCGTACTTCTCCTCCTCCAGTTCCGATGCGCCAGAGACGCATTTTGGAACACTTGCTCGCCGTACAGAAAGAGTAAAATAATCGTTTATTACTATTATAGTTTGTCTCGCTTTAACCGATCTCGTTTAAAGGCGTTCGCTCGCGTAGACATATGCTGGTTAATACCGGTACGTATGTTATATCAGCGTGGCATTGGCAAAACAAAGTACTCGAAGTACTTCAGCTTCGACATTAGACGAATAAGAGGTCGACTGGAGCAGTAAAATAGACGAAATGCCGTTTAAACGAACGGCCGAAAACGTTGCGAAGCGAACCCGTATCGAAAACTTGCACATATTCCAGCTTTCCGAGCTTCCCCGTTCTTAAACGATGAAGAGCTAGAGCGGTAATCGTATCTTACAACGGACATAATGGCCGCGCCTTAGCTAGGGACACGTACGACTATTGCCCGTGTACAGCCGACATTACAACGAGGCGAGGGTCAAATACTTCGCCGAACAATGAAAACGATGACCGCGCACAGCATGAAAGGAGAGTGCTATATTGATTCCAGGGTGTGCTCTTGCCGAGAGTCCTTGCTATACGCTGCCATTGTGGGCCCGGCGGCGACTCGGTAAGGGGCATTTATTCTCCGCCAAAGTATCGGTCGTTAGTCCCAAGTGGCTTCGATAAGAAAACCGATTCGAGGGCGCACACCCGGCAGTTATGGCACGGAACGCTGAACACTGCGGCTGTCGTGGTGACCACATTGCAATGTCTAAGAGGGATAAAAAAAAAAAAAAAAAAAGAATGCCGGTATTATATTTTTTTATAAGGCGGCACTCAGGCACAGAAGCCTTTTATTAGACCTTCCGTATCTATTTTTATTGTTTTGGACAGACAATATATGGTATTGTCTGAACAAAATCAAGTAAAACAAATTAGAAAATAAAAATGAACGTCGTTTACAGTTCTCTGTAATGCCGAAATAGAGCGCAGCTTTTGAGGAGGAGGAGGGCAGGGCGTGCCCCTCCTCCCCCTTCCCTCCTTCTTTCCTTCTCCCCTCCCATTTAGCG